CTGTAGTTCCAGCTACTTGGAAGGCTGAGGCGGAAGGATCGTCGGAGTCCAGCAGGTTGAGGCTGCGGTGGCCGGGAGTGGCCACTGTATTCCAGTCTGGGCGACAGAGTGAGACTCCAACTCAAAAAAAAAAAAGTTAAAAAAAAAAAGGTAATATTTGCTTAGGACACTAATTTAGAATTAGATTTAATTCGAGTATTTACATTTTTAACTTTAAATTTTAAAAATTAAACTAAAATTCTAATAAAAATTAGGAACATTGATAATTAAACTGTTTTTTCTCTTTGTATAAAAGTTTCCAAGAGTGGTTTGAACACTGCCTGCTACCTTCTTATATCAGATCCAATAGGATTTTTTTTTTATTTGGAGTCTCACTCTGACGCCCAAGCTGGATTGCAGTGGCACGTTCATGGCCACCCAGCCTCGACCTGTTGGGTTCAGGCAATCCTTTTGCCTCAGTTTTCCAAGTAACTGGAACTACAGACACATGCCACCATTCCTGGCTAATTTTTGTGATTTATTGTAGAGACGCAGTCTCACCAAGTTGCCCAGGCTGGTCTCAAACCCCCGAGCTCAGACAGTCCTCTCACCTTGGCCTCCCAAAGTGCTGGGATTACAGACTGAGCCACCATGCTGTCTAGCTCCTAACATTTTATCCTTTGTGTTTTCTTTCTTTTTTTCTTTTTTTTTTTTGAGTTGGAGTCTCACTCTGTCGCCCTGACTGGAGTGCAGTGGCCGCTCCCGGCCACCACAACCTCGACCCGCTGGACTCTGGCGATCCTTCGGCCTCAGCCTTCCGCCTCAGCCTTCCGGAATTACAGGCATGCGCTACCACGCCCGGCTGATTTTTTGATTTATTGTAGAGATGAGGTCTCGCTGCCCAGGCGGGTCTCGAACCCGCGGGCTCAGGCAATCCACTCACCTCAGCCTCCCAAAGGCGCGGGATTACAGGCTGAGCCACCGAGCCTGGCTCTTTTTTTCTTTTTTTAATCAAGCTCTGCCAAATTTATTAAGAAAATATTGCATGGTTTACTTTTCACCAGTCTGTTGTGGCATGCTTCTAATGATATCAGAATCACCTGGATCAATGATAACCAGTGTGCATTCTCTGTAGTATTTTCTGCATACTGTGCCCAATTCAATATTATTGCCAGTTTTGGCCCACATAGCATAATACTTTATTTCCAATTTCCTCAAAGCCAGGCAGTTGTTGGTGAGGGTGACCAGTTTGCCTTGTCAGATCATCTTCAGAGTTTGCTTGTACCTCATCAGGTACTTTCCACTTTTCATAACGAGTTAGATCCTAGAATTGATGGATTCCAGCGACTTTTTCATCTTCTGTGCAGCCATCATCTTCCTGCCTTAGGTGTAGGACGGCCCCCAACCAAGAGCAGCCACCAAGTTGGCTGGGTAGTGAGAAAGGCCCTTGTGTTTTCAGTGTCATGAAATATCTCTAAAAATTCCTTCAATGTGAAATTTTTTTTTTTTTTTTGCTGGCATTACTTCCTCTAGGACATCTTCAACCTTTTCTTCACAACCACTTTTCTTATTTCTGTCAGTTCATCCTTTTTTTTTTTTTTGAATCAGAGTCTCGTGCTGTCTTCTAGGTTAGAGTGCAGTAGCATGCTCACAGCCACCCAGCCTTGACCTGTTGGACTCAGGCGGTCCTTCTGCCTCAGCCTTCCAAGGATATATACTTCCTGGAACTATAAGTGTGTGCCCCCCCTCCTGGCTAATTTTTATGATTTATTGTAGAGATGAGGTCTCGCCAAGTTGCCCAGGCTGGCCTTGAACCCGTGGGCTCAGGCAATCCTCTCACCTCAGCCTCCCAAAGTGCTGGGATTGTAGAGTAAGTTCATCTTCATGAAGTTCCTCTGGCTGTATATCTAGAGTCTAGTGGCAGAAGTGCCAACATTCCCATGGTCATCTATTTTTCCTGTAACTCTACCAATATTCTATTAGAATTTACTTAAAATGTTAATCACTTTTCTTTGCTACATTTTCATTGTTGTTGCCAAATTTCCTCTTTCATTTATCCAGTAATGCCCCATGGATTTATGACTGAGATAAGGAAGCAACACAGTGTCATGATTTGCTGTCTGTATGTCCACTAAGTAACTAATGCACAGTGACCACCCACCTACAATCTGTGAAAGAAGTGACATGATTGGTCACAGATCATGCTGCATATCTGTTATTTACATAGTGATTTGCAGACTGAAGAACTACTAGTAAAGTTTGTATTTTGTGCAGTTACAGTTAATATATTGTTGTATTTGAATGGTAATGTTGGAGGACTGGTGTTACTTAACTAAACCACAGTAGCTGAAATTCATGCATATCGGAACCATGCAAAGCAAGGACTATTTATTTATTTTTGAAACAGGGTCTTGCTGTATTTCCCAGGCTGGAGTGCAGTAGCTCTTCACAGGTGTGCTCATAGCACACTGCAGCCTCAAACTCCCAGTCTTAAGCAACTTCCTGCCTCAACCTTCCAAGTCACTGGTAGTCTAGGCATGTGCTGCATTGCCTGAGTATTTATGCTCAGTGGATTGAGCCTTAGTGTCCTTCACATACCCCAAAAGATGCTCAAAAGAAAAGAGCAAGCTTGGCGATCCCAAGATTGAAAATGGGCATTCAAGATTCAGTTATGATCCCGCTACTTGGGGAGGCTCAGGTGGGAGGACTGCTTGAGGCCAGGAGTTGGAGAAAGCCTAGGCAACATAGTGAAACTCTCTCTTAAAAATTTTTTAATTCGAGACCTGCCTGGGCAACTTGGCGAGACCTCATCTCTACAATAAATCAAAAAAACAGCCGGGCGTGGTAGTGCGCGCCTGTAGTTCAAGCTACTTGGAAGGCTGAGGTGGAAGGATCGCCGGTGCCCAGCAGGTCGAGACTGCAGTGGCCGGGAGCGGCCACTACACTCCAGTCTGGGCGACAGAGTGAGACTCCAACTCAAAAAAAAAAAAAAATTTTTTTAAAAATCAGACAGCCTGTAGTCCTAGCCACTCTGGAGGCTAAGGCAGGAGGATCACTTGAGACAAGGAATCCAAAGCTGCAGTGAGCTATAATCAGGCCACTGCACTCCAGCCAGGGCTAGATTCAGTTAAGCCGGGCTCGGTGGCTCAGCCTATAATCCCACCGCTTTGGGAGGCTGAGGTGAGTGGATTGCCTGAACCCGCAGGTTCGAGACCCGCCTGGGCAACTTGGCGAGATCTCATCTCTACAATAAATCAAAAATTAGCTGGGCGTGGTAGCGCGCCCCTGTAGTTCCAGCTACTTGGAAGACAGGCAGAAGAATCGCCAGAGCCCAGCAGGTCGAGACTGCAGTGGCCGGGAGCGGCCACTGCACTCCAGTCTGGGTGACAAAGTGAGACTCCAACTCAAAAATAAATAAATAAACAAAGATTCAGTTAAAAAGAGGCTCTGAGGCCAGGCTTGGTGGCTCAGCCTGTAATCCCAGCACTTTGGGAGGCCAAAGCAAGTGGATTGCCTGAGCCCGCAGGTTCTAGACCAGCCTGGGCAACTTGGCGAGACCTCGTCTCTACAATAAATTAAAAGTTAGCAGCCGGGCTCGGTGGCTCAGCCTGTAACCCCACGCCTTTGGGAGGCTGAGGTGAGTGGATTGCCTGAGCC